CCCGCCAATGGACTAATTAGAATGCCCTGATTAGTAGCGAGTAAACGATTTTTGTGAATTTGCCACTAAGTGCACTGCTGGGCACAGCTCCTCCACAGCACGGGAGCTGGAAGCGGTGCCGGTGCTCGCAGGCAGCGCCTGCAGTGCTGCCCGCTCCTGCCCTGCCCGCTCCTGCCCTGCCCGCTCCTGCCCGCGGTCGTGCGTGGGGCAGGTACAGATGGGAGGTGTGCGGGGGCGCTGCAGAAGGGCCATCCAAAAACCCAGGGGCTTCCGGGGGCTGCCTGGAGCCAGCAGGGATCCCCGGGGCCTTCCACTGGTGTCATTGCTCTTTGTTATACAGCGTTGTACATTGCTCTTTGTTATACACCCTTCCACCGGTGTCATTGCTCTTTGTTATACAGCGTATAATGACATGACCACAAACAATATTCTGAGGGTTTTATTAACAAGTATAATACATATGCATTGTATACTAAATATAGTATGAGGACTGTACAGTACAAATTTATGTTCACAGTTTGACATGACAAAATGTCATTACTGAATTCCCATTGGACTACCAAAGTAGAAACAGTGAAAGTACATTCAACATTCACACCTTTATTAAGAAAAGATTACCAAAATGTCTCCATATTTGCAAGTTATAGTAATGCACGCTAGAAACCTTTAATTACCCATTCAGTCTTATTAGCTTACAAAATATATTACATTTTATTAAAAAATTTCTGCATAGTTTATACAAGTATTAAAGTAAATATAATATCCCTGCTGTATTTGCAGGTGAGAGATGCTAAGCAGAAAGATTATTTTGACCCTCTAATATTTAAAGTACATTAAAAAAAAGTGCTAATATCTGTAAAATATAATGAAAACTCGTGTAGCCCTCTTAAGAGACGTAAAATGCTTTGTAATTTTTTATAGAAAGGATTTGTATTCATCTACGTGTTGCTAACCTTGACAGAGACAACAACAGATTTGGACAAGTTGTGGCATTGGAAATGTCACTGCAGAATGGCAGTGTATATTTAAGCAAAATCACACACAGCAATACCTGCTTAGCTTTTTGCAATTGTCTTAGAAACTAGTAATTCATTATAATCGAATGGCTTAAACGGGCACATTTTAGTAAAAGTTACTACCTGTTACACACTGCACAGTGAGATACTGCTAGTGAAAAAGGTTTTTTTTTAAATATACATGTACTGCAGGATTAGGGTTTGGTATCTTTATATCTAAACTGGCTTCTCTGCAGGGCAAAGATGGAAGGACTGACTTTTTAAAAGTATTTAGTTGTGTTTATTTAAAAATTACAAGATACCCCTTCAAATCAAAGTTTGCTAAAATGAGTCAATGAGCCAGTTAAGATGCCAGTTCACATTTTCAGCTGAAAGATGTAAGCGTATTTGTGACTTTTTTGACATTCCACAAAAAAGACACCACAGACTCAAGTGAAAAATCCTACAAACAAGGCATTTGCATGAAATAATCTCAAATATTTAATATTTAAATTTCTGTTGTCCTAAATCACAAGGCACGTGGATAAAGATATTTAAAAGTTCTACTGCATCTTCACTGTATTTGTCCTCACTATTAGCATAAGTATTTTCAGGAAAAATGTACACAGGCTAATGAATGAATATGTAGATAACTTAAATTCTCCAAAGTAGCTCTTAGTTACAACGAAGTTCTGCCTTTAGGATATTTGATTTTAGATTTCTAGTTTAAAAAAAAAAAGATTAAAGAAAACATTTTGTGAAAGCCTTGAAAGAGAAACAGAACATTGGAAAGAAATGTTCCTTAAACATCCCAAATTCTATGCATTTGCATTTGTTAAGCTAAAATGGGATCAGTTGCCATTAAGCTGCTTATTTTTATAGGATCTCATCTGCTTTTTTCCATAGAATATAATGGAGAATTGTTTTCATCCCAGGATACTAAGCAGAGTTGTGACTGATGCTACAGGGGCTCCACACAGCCTCTCCGTTGGTGACGTGTCTGCATTTATGGAACTGCCATTAAAACCTAGAGCCCAATGACGGAGGCCAGTTCTGACTCCACATATTGCTACTGCTGAAAATAAAAAAATCCAACAAAAATCCCCATTCTAGAACAGCTGCTCATCAATATCATTCTCTTCCCTGCAAGTTCCTCAATGTTAGTGACAACCCGGCCAATCGAAAAAAGACCGATTCATCCCCCGGTTTTTCAGCTCCATAGACAAGCAGATGAGGGTCAGTTACAAGAAGATAGATCTGGTGTAACCTCCCTCAGTCCTGGCGAAGTGGCGAGGATGTATGGTGCTGTGACAGACCATACGGATCTTCCTCACAAAAGCGTTGCAGCAAGGTTCCCAGCCCCACTTTGCAAATCCCCGTTCTCCCCTTTGTGGAGCACACGTTCAGGGCTCTATTCCCTAAATAGAATTGCCGGTTCCGTATTCCCACATGCAAGATTTGTTACACAACTGGAGCAATACTTTGCATTTCACAGCAATCGCTGTTAGGAGCGTTTTTCTCCAAGTAGTACAGATCCTCTCCTTCTCTAATTCTATGGGTATGTGGATGTCAGCAGAACAGCTGCTAAACTCCGTCACCAAGGGAAGGCTCTTTGCACTCAAACTCTTGTGTCTGCAAGATTGTTTCCCATTAGACTCCATGGGATGTAGAACCACAGCCTACCCACTCCATAAACTCAAATATACCCACCTGCCTGCTCCTGGAGAGTTCTATGAAACTCCTCCTCCCCTCCCCCCTCCATTTTCCAGTGGGTTTTTCCAAGAGAAAAGAAAATCTGACTTCAGTATGTTTAATTTGCAGGGAATGGCGTTTACCTTACGTAGGGGAAAGAACAAAAACGCACTGGTGCGGGAGAGCCTAGAGAAACACCTCCTGTTTCCTTGCAGTGCCATAAAGTCTGCCAGCTAATGAAGACAGAAACCTTCCTTTCAGCGGGCTTCCAGAGACAGGAACATTTCTAGGGTCAACTGCAGGTGGCTTGAATTCAGTTTATCATCTGTTGTGTTTGCTAACTGACATGAGAGTTAAGACTTGCTGATGTGGTATTTTAATGCAATAGACACATCCACAGGAAAGCTTAGTCTACCTAGCGTTGAGAGACTACCAGTCACAAATCAGAGTTACCAAATGGATGATTTGGTATACGTTTTTATCCAGAACAGAGATATGACTCAATTTATCATCAGCAGTGCTTCATATCTGACGCCATCTTCTCATGAAAACATTGTGGATTAATAATTTTAAATACTGTAGTATATGAAAGTGGCACTCACTCGCAACAATACAGTTCGGAGCATTTTTAACATAATGATTGCTATTTTCTGAGGCACAGCAAAGAGAAAAAATATTTAGAGTAGAGGAAATGTAGGGGAGTGACTGTAGAGGGATACTCTATATCCCTGAAATGAGGTGTGGTAGGTTTCTATTAATATCATTTAATGCCATGTCATAGCAGCGTACCGTGTGTGTTCAATCCATACACTTGCACAGAAACCAGACATATACTGTCACATAAGGTCTTCATTTAACAAATCCACCGGGGCTTTATGCAATAAAAACAAGTATATATACTACACTATAATACAGAGGACAGATGACATTGGTTTAGATGCACAATATTATGTATAGACAAATTCCTGCCAATTTTTCTTCTTGACTGGGGTAAATGACTCAATCTTTCTGTAACGTAATTATATTGCTTAGATTTATTTCTACAGTGTTATTCACTGTTCGGGCAGAGGGGATTTCTGAATCAGGTGCCTTTCTAAAACTGTTGTATTAACCATATTGCAGAAATCAACACGGTTGGGAGAGTCCATTCATTGCATTGTTGAGCATAAAATGAGTGTACCCCTTACAGGGCACGTAAATAAAAGTCTCTGGCAAGGACTAGCATTTTGGATATTCAAATAACATTTACTACTTTATCAGTATATGCTGGATTGATTATATGAAGAAACCAACAAAAGCTGTTAGTTTACAAATTCCCTTATTCACAATGGAATACATTAAACATACTGTCTGCAGAAAGGGTTTGCTTAGCATCCCCAGGAGAAAAAAAACAAAGTGTTCACATTCTTTAGGTCTGACCCGTGGCAAGGACATAGAAGGGTTAGATAACATCTGTTACTGACCATATGTAAGCTTTTAATGGTATAAACTCAAGAGATTCAGACCAGCTGAATCCAAATTAAAATGCATGTGTGAAAAAAAAAAAAAAAGAAGTGTGACAGGAGTCAGGGACAGAAGACATTCAGACTAGCATGTGGCGTTTTCTGTGAAGAGCAAGATGGTCCGAACGTGAAAAGCTACGGTCACAGTCTGGGCACTGAAAAGGTTTGATTCCTGTATGCTTGCGGAAATGCCGCGTTAGTTCATCAGAACGAGCAAACTTCCACGTGCATCCCTCCCAAGTGCATTTGTATGGTTTTTCACCTGGAAAAAGAAACATAGAAGTGGGGATTTAAGACACAAACACGTCAGTTAAATATTTGACAGATCCTCTTGCCTTGTCAAATTTCAGCAAGTACTTTAATGCTTACTCAAAAAGCCTCCAAACAGCACTGGGCTGCAGAGTACTCTGCGCTAGAAACTGTGTAGTCAAAGTTAACAGATAAAAAAATTGTTTCCTGCCACAACTTATTTTTTATTGTCTCTCTGTTCCTCCCTCTGCCGTATTAGCGCTTGTTTTGTCTTATCAAGCCCAGAAACGTGAAGGTTTAAGCATTTGTTCAAGTATTTGTTCATTTTTAAAAATCAGGACCTCATATTCTAGATTAGTTGGGGGAAAGGACTGGTGTTACCATTCGGTACAGCAGGTAGAAATCTTGTTGTGAACTCTTAAAGTTACTGTAGTATAAATAACTGGCACCACTGTCACAAGTAGCTCAACTTAAAATCTCTCTCAATCATTATTTTCTAATGTGTGATCCTCCTTCTCCTTAACACGATTGTGCTGCCCATCAGGTAAAGGGCTGGCTTGTATAGATATGCAAGACAAGACATGAACTGGGCTCCATTTTACCTAAAGCATCCCATATCTTTGTAAAAACCTTGGAGGTACATATATTCATTCAGCGTGCCAAGATGAACACTTCCGCAGAGAACCGAGATGGGGATATGTTTATTGGAACATTCACTCAGGAAAGAGCACTATCGGACCAGTGGTTAGCACGTCCACACGAAGCAGATGTGTTTGTATTTGGCACACAGTCCAGACTTTTGCAAATGGGCTACTCCCATGGAAGTCTCAGTCAAATTTAACAGTGATGTAAGAGGTGAGGTAGTGCAATTTGAACTGATTTGGTGTTTACAGGGTGTGCAGAATGTGTAATCTGCAAGCAACTGGACAGAAAATGAGCGAAGAGCCAGTGAATGTAAAGCATACCAGCATACACTGTGATCCTGCTTTGGCTTACAGTCTCTTGTGAGTTTTTCCTCCTACATCCTCTGTCTTTTGCTCAGCCTATAATTATGTTCAGAACAATGCCGGATCTAACTTCTGTCATTTTGTTATTTACACCTGTGGCCACCTGGCCATTAGCGCAAACTAAAAGCTTAGTCTACTATTTTACCATAGACTTGATAAAAGAAAAGCATAGCAGTGCTCAAACCTGTATGGGTTCTTCTGTGAGCTTTCAGATGGGAGCTTTTAGTGTAGACTTTGTTGCAACCTTCATAATCACAACGATGTATTCTGCGTTTTCTTTGCGTGTCCGGAGATTCCACAGGTAAAGGTCTTTTTCCTGGCTGAACTATAACTGAAGGGTGATTCCTGCAAAGTCAAACTGAATGTTAAAAATGAGAAACATTTAGCATAGCAAACCTCAGCTAATATGATTCATGACAGAGTCCTTTATTCACTACCACTCTGTCTCTTGGCAGAAAGAACAACATTACATGCATGTCGAAAAATTCAAGAGGGTTTAGCAAATTTCGTGTATTCTAGCAGTAATATTTTTCAATGTTTACTCACTTTGTGACATGATGTAGCCATTTTTACTACTCCCTAGCTTTTTTTAAACTTACAAAGGAAAAACCCCCTTCAAATTCCTGTTTTTCAGCCAAACCCAGATTTCTCAAACTCTGAGCTCATAGTGAACTTCTCTTGTATTTGTTGAAAATTTTTCTTCTTCCTTCAAATGTAACTAATTTGCTTGTAATTGGAAACAGCTATTCCATATTATTAAAGAAATTGTATCTTTAGGGTTTCAAAGCAGAACTCAATCTTTATTGTTCCAGCCACTCCTTTAGAGAGTAATTAAGAATTTCCTGTTTGGTGCTGGCAAGAGGGTGCGGCCTCCCTACACCACTGACGTCAGTTCCTAAAAGCAGAGTTTAGCCTGTGTGGCACACCCACAGGATGTCTGAAGTTGCCCCTCCGCCTTCATAAACATCATTTTTTGCTTTTGAAGCCCACAGGTACAGTGCAGGTGAGACATATACTAACTACATACGGACTTCTGTAACAAACAAAACCACAAACACTCATGCATGTGAAAACACATCGAACTTCTTGAAAGGTGTCATTGACTGTGGCTATTTACGTTTGAACAACACCCCTACTGTAGAATTGGGGACAACCTTGACTCTTTCTTCCATGTCAATGTTAGAAAAGGAAGTATGTTCATCAATCTTGCAACCTCACGAAGTTGCATTTTTCAACCGCTACCAGATTGATTATCAGTGCTTTTAATGTATTTTTTAGCTTTTAACTAAAACTTAGTATATAATGTGCATTATATATAGCATTCCTTGTTGCAAAACCAGCTCCTCCATGTGACAGAAGCAAGCTTTCTAGAACTCCTGTCTTTTCTCAGTTACTGTATTTCGCATTTCTTTACTGATCAAATTACATTTTATAACACTAGGTTATATTAGTTACTTAAACCAAGTTCCTTTAGGGCCTAATTTTCAGAAACACTGAATACCTACTTCTCTCAGCAAAATAAAGGGCACGTGCTAAAGGTCCTTTGGTTAACACCAAATAAAAAAAGACTTATCAGGCATAGCAAAGAAAATCTTGTGTGTGGTTTAACGAGAAAAAAATTTTCTATTACTCTCCACAGCAGCAGGATAGGAATTACTGATGTGGGTAAAGTTTAATTCTGTTATTAATTCTCCTATTAGAGTTACAAGCTTGAAATTGGGAACCAAATTCTCTTTCTTGGGTGTTTCCGTGGCTGTTGAGTGATGTACTCTTCAAGTGCACATTAAACCTAGCTAAAAATGTTGTAATGGCAGGAAACCTCAGATGGTGATGTTAGACACAGATGTACATACTCTCAAATAAGAAAGGCAGGCTTTTACCTTCCAAAGAAATGCTTCTCTAAAGCAACGCTCAGTTTTAATGCTGTTGCATACTAGTCTTTTTGGAGAAGCTCTGGCTTAGGACAGCAAGCAAATTTGGTTTAAATCCCTATGCGTGAAGGCTAGTCCTGCACATGGTAACATCTGGAAAAAGGGAGAGAAAGGATATTGGCTGTACCATCACCGTTTGTGATGGCTTTCAATCTAAGATCATGTAAATAAAGTGCTGAGAATTCGTCTCTGTCTCATTTTCCCTTTAGAGGAAAGGAGGCGGGCAAGACTATAGCATGTTATCAATAATCACATAGGGTGTGGCAGTTTTAAAAAATGGTTAAGGCGGTGTCAAAAATCAGAGGTAAATATTAAGTAAGTGCCAATAATAAAAGCACAGCCCTAATTCTTTCATTCCCTCTTACACAACCAGATACAAATTCACATTAAGTCTAATCATTTAAGCATCATTCTTTAATAGGTAAGAGCATCTTCCAAAAATCATGTTACAATTTCAACAGCTTTTTCTCCTTCTTTACCAACAGACCACACTATGTTGACAGCGTGAGTTAGACTCTGACACTTGCACTCGCAAGAAAATACAATGTTAATGAGGCTTCTTATATTTGGTCAGAGATTATTACCTCAAGTTTGATTTTAGAAATAACTGCATAGTTATGTCAATTATCAGACATATTAGAAAGTCCAGCAATCCCTACTGAAATCCACCAACATTACATATATATATAATGTGTATGCCAAAAACTAACACTAAAGCAAAATCAGTCACTTAAAAGTGAGACTGAAGGTCTCCTATGCCCCTTTAATGTAGCTTATGTGTCTAAACAGTGCACTTTGGGCAGTTGGAACCTATGAAAAACGATAAAAAATCATTGCCTAACTATAGCTCATAATGCAGAGAGAGAAGCTGATGAAGCTGTGAGAGAACAGAAAATTTTATAAAGGTCTAGGTCTCTCATCTTGTAACTTGTGTGGTTTGTCTATGTATTTTTTTAAATGATAAAAAGATAAAAACTACCATTTACAAACTTCTTGTTGCGGATACAGCAGAATGTGAACATGAAAGGGCTGGCTTTAGGAACGACAAGAACTGCAGCTCTACAGGAAAGCTGGGAAGCAATTTAAGCCATTACAATGTGAGGACAGGCTCTCCACAAATATAATGCTCTGCAAGGGCAAGCAGAGGAGATGCTTTGGAAACAGGGACTATTCAAATGTTTTTTGTAACAATGCTACCTACAGGTTATACCAAATTTTATATTCTTTGCTCAGCAGATGGGTTTCCTGTGGAAACTGGACTTATTGGGGAATAATTAATGCAAATTACTAATGCAGGTGACAAGTCTGCAGAAGCCTCAGCCCTGGAGGAAGGGTGTGGTATCAGCCAGGAACAGCACTTACTGGTTTGCCCTTGTTAAAGAGTCCTAACAAAGACCAAAAGTAAACTGAACCATTTGATAGTCCTGACCTAGCAGAAGTTAGTTCCGAGTACGTACAGACCTGACTCCCTTGTGTGTCAGGTCCATTATGAAGATAAGTAACCACCTAGTAAACACAGATATTTACTATTTTTTATATGTTTATTATAATAAAACGTGTAAGGTTATTTCTAAACAAACAGCATATAGTTTATAAAAGCTAGCTGACAACTACTTAATTGCAAAGAGCCTGCAGTCTAGAAGCGGCATCTAAGCTGGTTAGAGACTTGAAAATGAGGAGGAGTGCCCACAAGAAGGCTGTGCAAAATGTAGTTAGCCCTGGAGCCGCAGTATGCCTTCTAACCCTAACCTGGGAACGGTTGTGAGCAGGAAGAAGAGGCTGCCTTCTGAAGGAAATGCAGACGACCGTCTGTACCATGCTTTCTCTCTCCTTCTGAATCACGCCGCACTCACATACTGGTTTTGGGAGTCTGGCTTGGAGCCCTTCTTTGCCACCCCAGGAGATGAGGTCTCGTACAACTGCTCAGAGGGTGAGGTGAGCAGGAAGAAAGGGCAGAAATGGATTCTAAGGCTCAGCTGTGAGCCCAGCTCAGTTCCCAACTTCAGCTCCTGCCAGAGCCATGCTGGCAGCCTGCATGCCTGCCCAGAGCACTGCCTGCTGAAGGATGAGCTGGGCCCCGGGTCATTCCATGATTTTGGTAAGTTGACAGAATTTTCCCTAGGAAAATGGGAAATGGAAGGGTCCCCACAGGTCCTCAGGTACTTCCTGAGCCATTTTTAGTATTTCCAATTAAAAAGTTTCTGCCCCAGACCTCACTTCTTTCTAGCCCTTGCTCTGCCTTCTGCAAACAGGACTGTTTTAAACCCAATTAGATCCGTGATCCAGTTCATGCAGTGGCCCCAGTAACAGTTGTACCAGCACAATGAGTTTGTAGTGGGGTGGAAACAAGTGGCTGGGAGGAACGTGAGCTTCAGGAACTACTTGAGCTGCCAAAAAAACCACCCACGGAACAATGGCCTCAGGTAAACATGGAATTTCATTGGATATATACAGAACTTGTAGGCTTGAGGGGATTCTTTCCATCAAGCAGCCAAAAGTTTCTAAAAGACAAAGAAGTCCTCCAAGAAAAGAAAGTCACAAGAATCTTTTTAAAGAAAGGTATTTTAGGTAACATAAACACAGAGATCAGTACGGAATGTCTTTACAGTATCTTTCCAGTTTGCTGCTGGTTTTACATAAACAGGTATCACTGGCTTATTGAGAGTCCTACTTTCAGTAAGTTGTAGGATTGGGACTAGCATTACTATAGAAATGCATTATATAAATGGCAGATCTATGTGGTTATGATGCATAAATACGTATCAACTCCTGTATTGCTAAAGAGGGAAAAAAAAAGTTGATATCACATCTCACAGTGGCAGTGGGCGGGAAGGATGTTTTTCTGTATTTTATCACGTTCTAAAGCACAGCAACACTACCTCCCACTCCTCAAAATTGGTAACTGCTGCAATGAACTGCTTTTCATTTTTCTGCTGGTCTTGGGACTACTGTTAGCTACTTACTCTTGCAACATTACTTGCTGGGGAGACAATGAGGTCATCACTGGAGGTGACATTTGTTCAGGATAGAAATCAGTCTTCGATGGTTCACTTCCTGGCTCTACTTTGATTGTTTTCTTCAGTGCAGGCTTCTCGTAAGACTCAATGACAGGCACTGTATGGGGGAGGGTAGGAAAGGGAAGGCAACACATATGAGTGTTATGGAGTGTTATGGAAATAAAAAATGTATGTAAAAAACGTAATAAAATGTATGTAAAATGTAATAAAATGTATGTAAAAAATGTAATAAAAGATGTATGTAAAAATCTATAGTTAAAACAAAAGAAACCCCCCAACTCTCTATTTAGTGCAACAATTTATGCTAAATCACAAAATCTTCCAGTTTTAGTCTATTCATTTTCACCAGTCCAACAATTTTATCAGTCCAAATTTCAGTAGATAAACAGCTTTACGCAGGTATAAATCAGAACAGAATATGACCTCGGTGTGTTTGGTAAAATATTTACACAGTAAATTCTATGCCTGTGTATTTTAGAAGAACAGGAATTATGTTTCATTTCCTAAAATGCAAAAAACACACAAAAAAGTGCTTCGATATACAGTTATTTTCCCAGGACGAGACGGCATAAAAAAGAACCTCTGACAACACCAACCTTGCATGCTACTTGGTGTTTCCATCTCATCTGCAAGAACTGTGGACACCATGATGGGCTGCTGAAGATGGGGAGCATACATAAAAGGAACTGGCTGGACCACAACAGGCTGTATAACTGGGAGTATTCCAGGGCTTCTCAGTCCGTGGCGTGAAAGAGCAGCGGCCATTACAGGTGGGATTGTTATTGGCATGGAGATAGGCTGTACTCCTGGGGGTGACGGTGTGAATTTACTGAGAGGTGAGCTGGGTGAGGACAGAGTCAATCCAGGTGAAGTTCTCCTATGCACAGTCTGAAATTTTAGGGGCGAAGGAGAACTTCCAGTTGAAGGTGGTGAGCTCCGTTTGTTCACTGTAAGGTCTACTGGCTCCATCTGGATTCCATTTGATAGTCCTTCGGGGTTTGAGTAGAATTTATTGTGCAACATACTCGGTGTAGAATAAATGACGCTGTATTTGTTTGGCTTCATTTGGTCCATGTAATTGGATGGGTATGACTGTCAGGAGGAGCAGAAAAAAAATAAAGAAAATCAAGTAATAAATCAACACACACACAATTACTGCTGAAAAAGAAAGGCTGAGGCAAAATGAAAAACTGAGGCAAAATGAAAAAGTTTCAAGAAAGCACTTTAATGTACTTTCTAAATAAAAGTGAATTAAATAAAGCCTAAGATTTCACACAAAGGAAGTTATTCAAGTACTGATTCACTAACTGTTTCAGAAGCAATGTAAAACAGATGACAAAAACAAATCCTCAGGGCTTATTCAACTCTTTTTCTCCCTTAAAAACTGCTTTTCATACACTAAGCTGCACACTACTTAACTGACCTGGGAGATACATGGTGCTATGCCCAGCATATAACTATATACTGAGGAACATGAAGTCAAGCAAGAGGGGAGTTAAACTGGACTTAGAATTGCAAGTAATGGGTCCCAATCAACTGCTTAAGTAATTGGAAAACGACCATCACTAAAGCAAGAAATTACGTATCTGAACCCTACAAGCAATAAAAAATACACAGCTGAACTATATAAGCAATGGGTGAGAAACTTAAGAGTGCAAAAGGTAAATTCTAAACCTTTTGTTTTTGAGAAATAAAGAAGCTAACTAGCCAGTCTGATTTTGGAAAACCAGTACAAGGATAAAAATTTGCCGTGTTGGAAGAATATTCCTGTTAGTGGTAGCTAGCAGTTCTCATTACAAGATCATATAAACCCCAAAGCTAATCTTGACCTACATGACGATCTCCACATTTTAGTGGAAATAATTTTTGTAACAGAAGAAGTATTAACACAGAGTATAGTATTATTAAACAACTATCCAGATCAATTTTGCATTTAAAAAGTGTTGAAAACTGAGGTTGTTTACTAACAGATGACTTAAAATGGAAACCGATGTGGTGTTCTAACATAGCAGATAGACACAGAAAATGCTATCCACACCGTTGTTTAGCCCTTAGATATTGTAAATTTTTTGAAATAAAATGCTATCTTTGAATTCTAGGAAGTAAAGCTTCACATTAAGGCTAAGCAGTTTCACACTAATATTAAAAAACTGCTGAATGCTTTGGCACCAAAAAGACTTTGATGAGTGGGATTAAAAAAATGTTCAAAATGGTAGAAAGTGAAACAGATTAGAAGTATAAAACTATTGTATTTTTATACAATAATTTCCATGACATTTCAATTATTTTTTTCTTGGGGTGAAAACTTCTAGCAATACATCTTCCCGGTTTCTTATCTCTGTCTTCCCCGTGAGGGACAGTTAGTTGATTTTGAATCTCAACGTTAACTAAAAGTATTTTTGCAAAATGACACAAATGTATTTTTCTTCTTTTCAGTTACTGTTTGAAACAGTGAGTTTAGAAAATACTAAATTCTCCTGCTGCATTTATAGCACTGTGACAAAACAACAAAGCTGAGTCACCTATTCCATAAAATACTCAAATAAAGCAGCATACACAATGGTGATTTAATCTTCAAACAGTAAATATTACATTAAACCCTCTGAAATGTTATTTATTCTCTTCATGACTATTCTTACAAATTCAATCTATAAAAACGTTAATCTTCGATGGTAATTGGTTCCTCAGAATTCTATTAAAATGCCATTACTGCAAGCAGTGCTGGCTAAAACAAGTTCTGCAGATTTGCCACCACTGTTGAGCCAAGTGACAAAATTATTAGCATCCTAAGTGATGAAGGCCACTGAATATTGATAGAGTTTAATATTTAACAGTATTTAATATCTACTAGATCTGATAACATTATGGGCAAAAATTCAGAATTTAAACACATAAGAGAGATTAAGTACTTCTGTTAAAATTGTTGTTATTGGTTTACAGTACAAAGTCTACTCAGCTTCAACAAACTGTGAATGTTCCACCATTAAGCATCAGTGCATTTACAGTGCTGCAAGTTTCTCAGGGATGATCACAAGGTCACCACCTACGAACATTTCTTCCATTGCAAGAATACTAGAAAGGAAAAAGACTATGCAGTTTAAATCTTAGGGAATGTTTTCAGTCAACAAGTCTATTAAAGAACGAAGCATCTCCAAGCTGTAACCTTTCTATCTAAACAGTTACCCTCTTTCAACTCTTCAAGTAACACCAGGTGTGTGTTGAAAAAATACCGAACTATTAAAATGTTGTGCAGAGAACTGTAAACTGGAAAAGTTAAATAAAATATATTCAGACAAGCAAGAATTAGGAAGAAAATAATGATGTCTTTAAGAAGTGATTATTTTAGGGACTTGGTATTTTACCCCATATGCCTTGCATTATTTTGCATAGAAGGTTTTCATTGTTGTAATTAAGCTGGCACAGATTTAATATCCGCTATTTTTTCCGGCAGTTTGGGGAAGCTGAACTTTTCTTCCTTCTGCGATTTTAATTGCTATGTTTCTATCTGAACTGCAGATAAAGTTGTGACAGAAAAATGTGGTGCGACAAATTATCTGTATTGGGAAGAAAAAGGGTGAAAAAGTTGAGAAGGATGCTAGAACAATGCAAAGGAGAGTATCTGCTGTCAATCAGACACTGTTTGGTGGGAAACTTTTGCTTCACTATCAACGAAGTGTGGTTGAAACCCTGTTCGTTTGGAGTAAGTCACACTCAGATCTATCTCCTGGTTCTGAAGTTAAGCTTCCTGTATCTTTCAGCACAGCAAAGTTTCAGTTTCTAGCTCCCTGGGACACAGCAATTGCCATTAGGTTGATATGAACCACTGCTTTCACATTTGGTAAGTCACTTTCCCTTTCTTTGCCGGGGAAGCGGACAGCACCCCTTGGGAGATATGGCATGGGAGAGTAAGGAAGATTTCACAGTCTCTCTCTGTAAATAGGGAGCATTAGCAATAGCAAACAAAAAAAAAGCCCCACTACCACTGTTTGGCTTTCTAAATGCCACCAACTGCAGAAAGCAGGAGTGTACTTCATAGCCTCCAAGAGCAGTCTTTTCTCACCTGTCCTAGAACTTATGCAAAGTACTCTGGTGGAACAATGGAAAATTATGTATCATTGCTCTGTTTGCCTAAAATATTTAAGCTGATACATTTTCCTTGGATTCCTACTGTGGGAATTAACAGTGTATGTAGGAATTTGGTCTGACTTGGATTGAAAAACACCCAACAAATTCACACTTTCCTGTAAATTCTGCTTTCCTAAACATCCCTGTGCAGAATAGTATGTCATTACAGCATATCACTATAAAGATGCAGGATTGTATTTCAACATATATTCCTTTACAGTCTCTATCTAGCTCTTTTTTGTTTGACATCATCACTTTCCCTCTTTGAGCCTTACAAAGCAATTAATTTACCTTTCCTTGCTGTTTGTCCATAATAAAGCCCAGAGCACTGAAGCCACAAAGAAACTGGAAAATAAATCAAAGGAACTTCTAATATTTTTGAGTCATATCCATATGGCTCATACAATTAAATCAATAAATCCAAAAGGAGAATCACCATGCTTTTCCTCTTGACAATCTATCAAGAATAAAGACTGGCCAAATACATCACAAGCACACCTATCACCACCCAGAAGACTGCTGCTTCCAAAGGGAACATTATCAAGCACTAATCTGATATAATTTGCTAAATTCTGTTATACTGCCACAGTGAAACATCTTTTTTGTTTTACAGGCGAGCAGATTTTGAAGCAATTCACCAAGTCTTTTATAAACTACATAACCATATGAATTTAACTCAAAAATTTAGCCAGCCCGTTGGAAAAACAGAAACAGGTGAAGAACCTACTTATACTATTTGTCAAATCAGTATCACGTAAGATGATGAACGGGATTGAATCCAAACAGTAGCTAAGACACGAAAAAGCATTCTCACCACATGAAATTTGTATTCCAATACACTGCTTAAGACCTCAACCCCTCATGTAGCACATAGCTATCTTTAAAAATGGGTGAAACAAGTAGTTTTGGGACAGATGGAAGGGCAGAGAAAAACCGTTTATTCCAATTCAAAGAAAGACGGGAACACATAAAAAAGCAACTTCTTTCACTAAACAGTCACTGGTATTTGTCCAAATGTTTAAAAAGTTCTCACAGCAAATATTTAGGTAGGACTCAGATGACTTTGTCACTAGTTCATTAAGAACTATCATAACATGTGTTCAATAATTCAATTCAATAAATAGCATGAGCTGTTGGTAGAGTGATGAAATACTGTGGATGTGAGCTTCAGTCATCTGAGAAGTATAGTTAATCCTTCCAGCCACACCCCCTGAAATACAGTGGTGTCAAAACCATAATTTGTTTCCTTCTCTCACCCCAACTGATGGGATTTTTTAAAGACAGACTTTATACCTACAGACAGTGTATGTTCAGGTAAAATAACGAATAACTCCCAAGGGGCTTCATTTAGTTTGGCCTCCAATGATACTATCAGAATGACAGATACAATACAAATAAATCCTGATTTAAGAATTCTGAGTTATGTCTGCCCACAGTGAACTGAATGCTATACTCAGCACCTCCAAAACATCACACTAACAGTTTCTCTCTCCTTCCACCTTCTCAAAAGAAGGTCAGGAAAACTAACACACTCAGTGGCTGCTATCCTTTCCTATGTTCTCTCCATACCACGATTCCTCCCTTTAGAGGTGCCTCCAGAGCAGTTTCTGCTGGGAGCTGTGACGGCAGGGCTCCAAGGACACCACAAGACCAAGAAGCTCTGGGGAAGCCAGGACCTCGAGGGCTTGGGGCTAAACAGTGTGTGTGTGTACAGAAGCTGAAACACACACACTCCTCAGCCCCAGGGAAACCAGAGTAATGTCCATGAGGGGAACCTCTCTCAAAAAATGTCCCTTCCTCTGGACTTTCTGCTTTTCCTTTCCTGCTTTTTTTTTTGCATTATTCAGTAATGAAAAGGAAAGCATACAGATTTGGTAAAATGCTCTGTATAGTCTCTAACAGCTGGTCAGAGTGATGACACCGAGTTATAAGAACACCCAAGATGACTCCAGAGGTCCAATGCATGGAAGGTACCACACCTCTGCAAGGAGCACGCGGTATAGAATAAGCAACATCTGGAACTACAGTCTTGAAATGCACTTGGCTCAGAAATGCTCCCTTGCTCTTTCCATTGCAGTTTTTCCTTCATCTGCCAATCTGAGGAAGACAGCTCACTCCTCTCCTCGTCAGCCTGCTGAGGGACTGACCCTGTCCATGTTGCAGAAGCACACAGCTGTCTGAGGCAGGATCCTGTGTCTCTCATGTGCATCATCCCAAACCACTGCAGAACCTTCCTTGGGAGATGAAAGCAGATGTGTACAGAAGACAGCCCACAGTGTCTCTATAGTGATTTTCTGTTATTCTGTAATGACACTTTTATTGTAAAAGTGGCCCATTTTCTGCCTTTGATGGACACCATTAGATATCCTTAGATAATCGTAGATAATCACCACTAATCTTAATAAGGTTATGCAATAACTGTGATTGAAGTGACAGACAGACTGGACAATACTAAGGTTCTTTCTTGACCCAAATACTGGAATTTGTCATACTTACACCCTCACATACTTACACAATGATAGATCAGTCGTTTTAAACCCCATGAAAGTCAAACTGTAATTTTAAAATGCATGTAAACTTAACTCTCAAAAAGTGTTACTAATACACTGAAGAAATCAGACTGCTTACAGATGCATTTAAATTAATGACAATTATTCTACATTTTGAATAAAACAGGAAGCAAACTTTTCACTGAAAGATGCCACTCAGAGCATGAGTTTAATGCACTCTAATTTATGCACACTGACTTCACCCTTTTAATTGATCAGCCTTTCTAAGGGTGTGGTTTCATGTTACACTTAATCTGATCTTCTTGCGGGTCCCGTTCCCTCGTCCTCCCCCCTCCCCTTGCTCTAGCATTGAGCAGCTGCAGAATGAGTCAGATCAGCTTCCTGATCTGACCAAAAAATAAGGGTATTTTTGGTTGGTAGCAATTCTGACCATTGCATGGGCTGATCCAAAGGATCCAAATCATTCTGTGGCCACACAATTACTTCATGTCATACAAAGGAGACACAAAGCTGGAAAGGGGGGAGAAAAGCCTGAACCTTCCCTTTCAGCAGCAGCCTGCAGATGAATAGGTGAAGTATACATGAAGCTGCTTCTTAAGGCCACATTTTCCCGGCAGCCTAAATCATCACAATTCCCATTATCCCTCTCCCAGCTACCCGTTCCTGCTGCTCTTGCTTATCAGACTCTTCTCTGAGATCACCAAGTTGACAGAGAATTAACCCAATCGAAAAGTCAAGTCTCCCCTTCCCCATTTTTCCCCATTCCTCCTCCCCTACCCTGGTTCTCATCTGTTCACATGGCAAGACAATGCACCTGGCTTACCCAGCAAAAAGACAGGATTAATTTTCTGCTGTTTAGAATGCAGAGTTAGCCCCAGGCACATGTTTTCAAGACCAAGAGAGAAGCAGAAAACGGGACAGTGAGCAGCTGTTCATTTACTTCAAAGGTGTAACATTAAAACCACAGGCCCTTGACGCTTCACTGTGAAGTCTGGAAACTTAATTTCAACCCACCTCCATCAGCAGCATGAGCTACAGAGATCATATTTGCACTGCAGTGGCTGAAGAGCACTTGGATGTTCTCTCCTCTGCTCTGGGGATGGGAGCACCAGCAGAGGTGCAGGGGCAGGTCATTTAGGGGCAATAAATTCATAAACCACACAAAAAGTTTTCCTAGAATGTAAATTTGATTGCCCTAAAACCAAAATAGAACTTCACTAGCCTTTCCTAGGCTAGTCCAAAGCTTAGAGAAAACCTGGTATGAATTTGAAGATGGAAAAACTATAGAGTTATCACAAAGGCTGAAATATTTTAAAGATCTTACCACTGAAACAGGCTCCATGGCTTCTTGCTTGATAGGGACTGGGTCAAACATTAGCATCTTTTTTATTCACCTGTTCTGATGCCTCTGATGTCCTGGCCTGCAGGGGAAAGACAAGGTGTTAGAAAGCAGCAGGAAACCCCGTAATCAACTTTCTGAACTGTAAAAAACTTACTATTTTGTCAGATTAATGTGAGTATTTATCCATCTCTAACATAGCTTCTTAAATATTTGACTGGGCTTCATTTAAATATCTCAGTTATTCTAAGTTTATTCTTTCCTAATTGCTATTGAAACAAAGGGACATCTGCTCACTTTAACAAAAGTTAGTTAGAATTTTTATTGTGCATGTCAGCATACCAAGATCACAGAATTGTCACTTTCATTGGCTGTCATTAGTGTGGAAACACATCACAGTTTAGACTATGCATTTCTCATCAGCATTATAACTTCAGAATAATCTTGTTTAGCTGATAATACAGTGAACTGATTCTGAAGAGGATTATCTCTTGTCCCGAGAGAAAAGTTGAAGCTTTCATGTACAGTGATATTGAAATCAATGCAAAAAAAAAGATTAAAATCCAGGACTAATTTGGAGAGCTAACATTCAACGTGCTGCAATGACTTAACATAAAAAAATACATCAGTTATTTCCCTGAGATAATAGATTTAGCGACAATTCCACCACAATTTGTGCTAACTGTGCAGAAGAAAAGCACTTCAAAAAATCCAGTTGTATTCTGTGCAGCTTCAGGGTTTTTTTCTACAGAGTGTTCAACCTCACTTGTCCAATTCTAGCTTATCTCAAACTGCCTGAAATAAAGTATTTAGCATAAAGGATGCCATAACTTAACTATCATACCATACATTTGCCGTGGTCAACTTGGAAAGATGCTGGGAAGGAAAGGAGGAGACACCTCTTCTGGGGTAAGCCATAAGGGTACAGAGTAAAAACCAAGAGAAGCAAAGGAAAGTTGTTCTCAATGACCTCACTTGAGGTTATACATTATACGACTGATGTTAAAGGAGCAAGTTCTGACCATACATTGCAGGCGCACAGCCCTGCTTGGAAGTGGCAGGACCTCTATTAAGATGCGATGAAAAAAAAAATTACACAAATTCAATTTTGACCAGTAGATGGCACTGGAAAGAAACGAATACAGGCAGACTACACCATCCAGACAATTTCACCCTGCGGAAGTAGGCTAAAGGCTCAACAACAGATTTGTAGTTGGGGCTGGAAAATTCTCCCAGAAATTTAAATGAAAATTTTACGATGTACCTGCTCAAATTAAAACAATTCTAATAAGCCTACACTAATGAACAATCTTGCAATTAACTATCACGTGTGTTTATAGATAAAAATTTGTTAAGAGCTTCCAGAGAAAGATGGCATAAGTTGTTACAAGTCTATCATTAATAATTCAGGTATATGAATAAAGTTTAAAGACTTCTGGAAATACATTACAACAGTGTACATTTTGAATAACGGAAACAAATCTTCATAATTCTTCTTACAAAAGTCAAAGGCCTGACAAAACAAACAAAAAACCCAAACCAAACAAATATAGCAGCTCAATGCAATTTCCAGTTTAAACTTAACATGTAGTTTTATTTTAGAAGCAGCTGTGTAAGATGGCACTATTTGCTAAAAGTTGTGATAATTTTGTAAATACTTTAAGTATGTTTGTGCGAAGGTTATTAACTATACTATTTTTCTTTGAACGGTTATCTTTTTCAGGTTTTTAACATTTCACATAGCTAGAACTAACGTTTCAGAAGACTGCCTTCCCACAAATATATCCTCGTATCTATGCATTAAATATATGTGTATCTATGCATCACTCACACATGTTCCCACATATATATGCATTGTGAAAACAGAAAAAAAGTTATACTTCTAGACATAAAAAATCTTTACAGTAAAATGTAGCATCTCAGACCTCATATATAAGAATTTGGAACTACTTGCTTTCAGGTTTCCAGAAACCTTCAATTTTTAGTTTTAGTGTGCATAGATGACACACCAATTTGTACTTTAGTGAAGGAAGGAAGGAAGGAGAAGAGAGAGAAGAAAGAAAGAAAGAAAGAAAAAAAGAAAGAAGAAAAGAGAAGAAGGAAGGAAAAAGAAGAAGGAAGGAAAAAGAAGGAAGGAAAAAGAAGAAGGAAGGAAAGGGAAGAAAGAGGGGAGAGGGAGAGAGGTAAGGAAAGAGAGAAA